CCTCTTTCACCCCACACAGTGCTATGGTGCAGCCTCGCAAAACAGGGACTGTCTGAACTGAGCTGTGCAGTGAGGTGTGCACATAGAAAGGCACACTGAAAATAAAATATTAAGTCAAAAAAGACATATCAAAGACCATGAAATTGTAAGCAAAAAATGTAGCGCTTCATCATAACTTAATTTTTATTCATGATATGTATTTGTTAGTCTATTTTTTCTCTTTTTTAATTTGCACATTGGAATAAAAGAGTATTTAAAAACTGTGTTAACATTTCAGAAAACACCTTAAAAAGATTCCATTACTTAAAGTGATTTGGATAATTGTATTCAATGGTAGCCATTATTTTAAATATAATTAGTTGCTAAACTCAGAGAAAAGAGGAAATTCTGCAGGTGTTTCTCATTATTTGTTATGCATGCAAAATATCTGCATAAATTACCATTATTATTCCAATGTATACTAAAAGACAATAAAACATTAGCAATCAAAAAAGAATGTTGTTGACCCACAAGCTGTAATAGCAGATAGGATATAATGTGTTCCGGCCTTTTTATGCTATTCATGCACATGTGTGAATGAATTTAAGATATTAAAAAAACCCATTTTGCACCTGTAAAAACAGTTTTTGTTTAAAAAAAATGAAAACACAGAAGACATATTCTGAATATGAAGGCAAACTTGATGTGTTATGATTCATTGAATATTTACATTTCATTTAATGTGTTAAAACCACTTGGTGATCCATATCATAAACATTTTTTTTACACTTTTAAATTAACTTAGGAAAAAAATCATTTGATCTTTATGTAAGAAAAAGTTGTGAAGTTCTTATAAAGATATCACAATCTAAAGATCCTTAACAGCCTAGATCCAAATTTCATGTAGGCAGGTATCTACTAAATGTTGCAGTGTATTGCATGGGTACGTTTTTTTTTTAAATGTATTTATATGCATTTTGCCCTCCACTTGTGTTATGACTATAATGCTGTATATTGTATTTATTTTGTACTGAGAGGGTTAACTGTGTGTTTCTGTTATCTCATTGGTGTTCATGTGCCTGCTCAAGGGTGGAAGCATATAAATACATAGGAACAGCAGCTTTGTGGTTGCTCCAGGTATGGGAAGTAATAGAGGAAGGACTATTATGCTTTAATCTGTTGCAATATCCTCCAACAGGATCCCAGGTTGGGGTTCCGATGTGTGGACTTTCTATAATGGACTTTATTACATTAAAAACATGAGCCACTGACTGAGCATGCAGGAATAGTTGCAGCTTGGATAAAGATTTGTGCACTGTGGGATCATTTTCATTAACAACTTTTGGTACTAGGATATGGAAGTTAAGTACTTTATACTTTACTTATTTAGCTGCTGTTGTGTTAAACTACTAAAATGTGGTATTTATATGAAGACATTTACCTTTTCAATGTCCAGTAGGCAGAAGTTGCTAATTGCAGTGTTGACTTGATTAAGTAGTATTTAACTTGAGATATTAAAATAAAGTATATTTGAGTGATAGCTTAATATACCGTGGTAAAAGAGTATATTTAAAGGGTAACTACACTTTTGTGGGGAAAAAATAGCATATAAAAAATGTAGCAAATACAATTGCAACACAAGTCATTTTTTAATTGAATGTTATTAAAATGTTCTGTCCCTTTCAGTCTGCAGTGCTGAAATTTTTCTGTAAAATGCAATATGTCAGCCTGGAGGCATTATGTACATATGTGGTGTACAGAAAGCCACCCAGAAATGTCACTTCCTGCTTTTGAAATTGGCTTACTGATTTTCTCAGAATTCTGCATTAAGATACAAGTCAGATTTTTAGCATCCCCTGCAACAAAAATGCCATTTTTTTTTAGATACTGCCAAAGGAATATCATGTCTAAAGGGATACAGACCCTGCTTTCTTCATTAGAACCATAAAAGTGCAGAAGTTGATTGATAATTATAAAACCACCCCCATACAGATTTACTCTGCAAATGAACACTTAACAGCTGTACCTTCAGAATAACAAAAGCTGGTAATCTGCAATAATGTTTGGTACAATCCCTGCAATGTACATTGATCACCCAGAGGGAAATTTTTTTTTTTTCTCAACAAAAGTGTAGTTACTCTTTAATGAATTCAGATACGTCAAAATCAGAATGGGAAACTATTGTTTAAATGGGTTCCACATAAAAGTGAAGATTTATATATAGTGTAAACAAATTAAAGGTGGACTTAAAGCTATCTTCCTCACAGCTCCAAACTAACATTTAGATTTTATGTGTAATCTCTTGCCACCCATGTTATAAATATGTGCAGTGGCAAAGAGGGTGTGATTTATTGCCCACAACCCACGCATATGAATCCATGATCTTTCTGTGCTGAGAGTGTACTCATTGTGCACTCCAGCCAGCTGTTGAAGACCACATTCATTAGGTCAAAGTTGTGGAGAAGAGGTCCTTGTCTACATCAACATGGGGACAAAGTGATTTTCCAGGGGGAGGCATGACATAGTACTCTTCCAATGTTAAGGGTATTTGGCCTAGTATATGTTTTAGTTCAGGGGAGGGCTGATAGGCCTAGTATGGATTTTTTGGAGGGACCCCACACAATTTTATTTTTGTGTTGTGTATGTGGCCCCCTTTTAAAATACTTGAGGTATAGTATAGACTTTTAAGGGGACTCAGACTTTTTTTGGCATGAAATCCCCCTCCAAATCCATACCCGACCCTTATCCAGGATTTAGGTCTGCTATAAATCTTAATGGGAACTGCTATTTTATCCTTCAAGGCATGTGGCCTGGTAAGGTTAAGCAGTGGGGGGGGGGGGGGGGCATGCTTGCTGCCCTCCCTTCCTAGCCGCTCAGGCAGCAACGGTTTTCGTTTGTATTTTGATGGGAACTCTACATAAAATAAAAGTGTTGATCTCCCAAAAATCCATACCAGAACCTTATCCATGATTAGGGCCTGGTATGGATTTTTAGGTGGAACCCCATGCAAAAAGATAAAAGAAAAATAGCATTGTGTCCCCTAAAATTTATACCAGACCCTTATCTGAGCATGCTGTCCATTAAAGAAAGAGAAGCATGCACTCCCCTCCTGAACCATACAAGCCCACATGCCCACAATATAAGGAAGGATACCATGCCAAAGAACCCTGTGGCAAACCACCTTGTCCACATGTTAATGGGGACAAGAGCGTCTCCTTCACTTCCTAGAACCACTTCCCAGGACCAGTGGATGTGGGGTTCTGCTGGGTAGACATATCATATTCTGGAAGCTCAGTTTAAAACTTTGGGACCCCTAGATATCCACATGAATGTGTAAGGGTACATACATACATACTCTGTGTTTATTGATACTCCGTCACCAAAAATGTACAATTTAAAAAAAAAAATCACACAGACAAAGTTGACAAAAACATGTCCAACATTGTAAATTCCGTGTCAATCATGCTGTACAGTGAAATGAATCCATCATCAATCAATGAACAATGCCTTGATGACATGTTACCTAATAGCAGTTTCCCCAGATGTTATTTTCATGAAAGTTGGCTAATATAAAATAAAAATAGGCTTTGCTAGTGATATTATCATGTTAAAGATTATATGAGATTTTAGTGGTTTCCGTGGTCTGAGAGCCGGAACCAGCATCCACACAGAGAAGTGTACAAGGCGTGCAGGCAGAGGAGCGTGAGCCCAAGGAAAGTATTGGTGGTTGTAGTATCCACGGCAACCTCCTTTGCTTCCTTCTCATACTCTTCTGTATGCACACCTTGCACGCTTCTTTGCCTAATAAAAAATATTATAAGATGTCATAACAATAATTGATTAGACCATGAGCTGCATGAGAGGGCCGAGCAGAGTCTTAAGTACTTGTAGAAGTAAGAGTCCAGAGTGTATTTGTCAGGAATGGACTTGCCAGTAATGGTGGGACTCACCTGCCTTGTGGGCTGCAGTACCAGGGCTGGCCAGCGGGTGCTCTCAGCAATCAGAGACTCAACCCTGCAGCCAGCCAAACACCTGAAGCTGATTATGCAGGTGTATTTAAGGAATGGCCAGACCTGCAATCTGTGCCTTGGTGTGTGTTTTTCCATGGGCCCCTGTATCTTGTAACCTGCGTTCCTGTTCCTGTTCCTGTTTCTGCCTCTGCCTCTGCCTGACTTGTTGCCGACCCGGTCTGATCCTGACCTCTGCTGACTTCTCCTGTTTTGATCCCTGGCTTGTGACCCTGACCATTCTCTCCGCCTGCTCCTCCTGTACCTACCTGCCCGTTAGTTTCGACCCGGCCTGCCTGATTACGTTGTGCTCTATATGTGTATGTACCTGTGTATCTGTATCAGTTTAGGTTTGGGTTTGTTTCACCTTGTTGTATGTATTTGTGTTAGCTTGGGGTTTGGTGCACTACGTTTATGTTTGTATTGTTAGTCTTTAATAAATTGTCTTATTGTTTATAACATATATGAAGCCTGCGTTTCCCTGCATCAGTTCACATACCTCTGGTCATACCCTGGAGCCCTGACATTACACCAAGGCCAATCCTGACCAGAAGTGGCTGCACAGGGAAGCCATCTTGGCTTGTTGCTGGGAAGGATGGATCTTGATGAGGTTGTGTCTTTGTCACTGTTGGTTTTTGATGACAGAGAATATGCTTATCAGACTCTGAGGGAGTATACCCGGGATCAACTGCTAGAATGTATACGGATCGCTCATGTTCTAGTAGATAAGGGCACAGAGTTCTCTGAGATGCAACCTTTGATTCAGGTTTGTGTAGAGTTGGCTTCATCTGGTACCCCCTGAAAGCAGGAATGACTTTTTGCCACCATTTAGTGCAGACCAGGTAGAGTCCCTGGTATGGTTATTAGAGGATGATGTGGATTGCTTCTTGGAGCATTATGCTGCATGTTCACCACAGGTATTAAGGGATTGTATAAACGCAGTGCAGTCTTTGACCAGACAGGCTTTGTGTAAGCTGAGCTTTGTTCAACCCATACTGCAGACATGGTCAGACTTGTTGCACCCAGCCTCAGTCAGCTTGCAACGTCATTCCTCCGCTCAAGGCACTCTTCCTACATCCCCGACAGCACCCCCAGTGACTGCCCAGTATACTCTAACTACCACATATCAGCAATCTGCTCTCATTCGCTGCACCTATCCTGCCTTTAACCCTGTAAAGAAGTCCTCTGTAGCAACTGCTCCCTCCTCTGTTCCATCCTCCAGCTCTTCTCTGTCTTCAGCTGCTCCATCTGTTTACAAACCTGCGCTTACTTACAGTGCTCCGGTAACTAAAACCAGAAAAAAGCGAAAATTCTTCCCAACCAGTACCATCCTGCCAGTATCCAAACCGGTGAGCCTGCCGTCTGAGAACCTGCCTTCCGTGGTCCAGCCTGGTGCCTCGGCACCCGCACTTCAGCCTGATGTCTCTACCCAGCCTGATGTCTCTACCCAGCCTGATGAACTGATCCAGCCTGATGACCTAGTGCCCGCTGTCATGCCTGGTGACCCGATGCCCGCTGTCGAGCCAGACGATCCAGCGCCAGATGACCCGGTGGCTGCTGTCGAGCCAGACGATCCGGTACCTGATGACCCGGTGCCCGCTGTCGTGCCAATTGACTCAGAGCCCACTGTCGTGCCTGGTGACTCGGTGCCCCCACTGCCTTGCCAGATGACACGGTGCCCGCTGTCGAGCCAAATGACCTGATGCCTGGTGACCCGGTGCCTGCTTTCATACCTGGTGACCCGATGCCCGCTGTCGAGCCAGACAATCCAATGCCTGATGACCCAGTGCCCGCTGTCATGCCTGGTGACCCGATGCCCGCTGTCGAGCCAGACGATCCAGCGCCAGATGACCCGGTGCCTGCTGTCGAGCCAGACGATCCGGTACCTGATGACCTGGTGCCCGCTGTCATGCCAATTGACTCAGAGCCCACTGTCGTGCCTGGTGACTCGGTGCCCCACTGCCTTGCCAGATGACGCGGTGCCCGCTGTCGAGCCAAATGACCTGATGCCTGGTGACCCAATGCCCGCTGTCGAGCCAGACGATCCAATGTCTGACCCAGTGCCCATGGTCATGCCAGTTGACTCGGAACCCACTGTCGTGCCTGGTGACTCGGTGCCCACTGCCTTGCCAGATGACGCGGTGCCCGCTGGCGAGCCAAATGACCTGATGCCTGGTGACCCGATGACCGTTGTCGTGCCTGATGACCCGGTGCCCGCCGCTCCGCCTGGGGGCCCGGTGCCTGCCGCCCCTCCTGGGGGCCCGGCGCCCATCGCTCCACCTGGGGGCCCGGTGCCTGCCGCCCCTCCTGGGGGGCCCGGTGCCCACCGCTCTGCCTGGGGGCCCGGCGCCCGCCGCCCCGCCTGGGGGCCCGATGCCTGTTTGCTCCGCCTGGGGGCCTGGCGCCCGCTGCTCTGCCTGGGGCCCGGCGCCGTCGCTCCGCCTGGGGGCCCGGTGCCTGATGCTCCGCCCGGGGGCCCGGTGCCTGCCGCTCCTCCTGGGGGCCCAGTGCCCGCCGCTCTGCCTGAGGGCCCGATGCCCTGCTGCTCCGCCTGGTGGCCCGGTGCCTGCTGCTCCACCTGGGAGCCCGGCGCCCGCCACCCTGCCTGGGGGCCCGTGCCTGCCTGCTGCTCCGCCTGGTGGCCCGGTGCCTGCTGCTCCGCCTGGTGGCCCGGTGCCTGCTGCTCCGCCTGGTGGCCCGGTGCCTGCTGCTCCGCCTGGTGATCCGGTGCCTGCTGCTCCGACTGGTGATCCGGTGTCCACCACTCCGCCTGGGGGCCCGGTGCCTGCTGCTGCTCCGCCTGGTGATCCGGTGTCCAGCTCGATGTGCCTCTGCCCGGAGTCCAGCTCGATGTGCCTCTGCCCGGAGTCCTGCCCGATGTGCCGCTGCCCGGAATCCTGCCCGATGTGCCGCTGCCCGGAGTCCGGCCCGATGTGCCGCTGCCCGGAGTCCGGCCCGATGTGCCAGTCTTTGATATCCCGCCAGTTACCAGACCTGGGCGGTGGAACATTTTGCCCAGCTAGGACTGTTTGGAGCGTCCTGAGGCCGCTCCTTGAGGAGGGGGGGTACTGTCAGGAATGGACTTGCCAGTAATGGTGGGACCCTCACCTGCCTTGTGGGGCTGCAGTACCAGGGCTGGCCAGCGGGTGCTCTCAGCAATCAGAGACTCAACCCTGCAGCCAGCCAAACACCTGAAGCTGCTTCCTGTACCAGGTTTTCGACCCGGTGCCTGAATTAAGGGATGTATCTGGCCAGACCTGCTGCGTTTATGTTTGTCTGTGCTGCGTTTCCCTGCGTCAGGTGTCATGTGTTTTTCCATTGTGGAGTTGTTGAACAAATCCCCCCTGCAAAGACCCAGGGATCTGCAGTCTGTGCCTTGGTGTGTGTTTTTCCATGGGCCCCTGTATCTTGTAACCTGCGTTCCTGTTCCTGTTTCTGCCTCTGCCTCTGCCTGACTTGTTGCCGACCCGGTCTGATCCTGACCTCTGCTGACTTCTCCTGTTTTGATCCCTGGCTTGTGACCCTGACCATTCTCTCCGCCTGCTCCTCCTGTACCTACCTGCCCGTTAGTTTCGACCCGGCCTGCCTGATTACGTTGTGCTCTATATGTGTATGTACAGTACCTGTGTATCTGTATCAGTTTAGGTTTGGGTTTGTTTCACCTTGTTGTATGTATTTGTGTTAGCTTGGGGTTTGGTGCACTGCGTTTATGTTTGTATTGTTAGTCTTTAATAAATTGTCTTATTGTTTATAACATATATGAAGCCTGCGTTTCCCTGCGTCAGTTCACATACCTCTGGTCATACCCTGGAGCCCTGACAGTATTGGGTACATAGATATTGTAACAAAGACATTTGTGAGTTGTTGAACAAATCCCAGATGGATGCTAGGCCTGCAAAGACCCAGGAGGCAAAGAAGATATCAGGAATTACAAGTTTTATTAAGGTAAGAGCTAAGACTAAGAGCAGGTGTTTGGAGATGCCTTTTGCTTGGTGAGTGTTATTTTAAGTTTCAAGGCTTCATTCTTGGGAACAACCTGTGGCTGCAGGTCTGTATGCTCAACTTTTGCTGCTACCTGCCCTTCTCCTTTTGTCCCTGAAAAAAGACAGAGAAAAACACAAGTGAGGATCAAGGGAAAATAAAGCGAGCCAGCTATCAAATTTGGTGGGCCAACATTTTTACCCAGTTTACATTACCATCCCTGCCCATGTTTGCTTGACTTGGGCAGCAGGAATGGCATTGCAAGAAAAAAGAAACATAAACATGTATTTTAAAAATTGTAATTATGTAAATAAAGTTTGTAAAAAAGTTATGAAGGCTGGGAATATGTTACTGCGGTGCTGCCTAGGGCAGGATCTTTACACTATATATGAGAGAAGTTGCAGTGAATATTTTCTTCAGGGATCAAAACCTTTCTGCAACAGTACCTATAAATCTAGGGCACTTTTCATTTTGCTTATCCCAGTGTGTTATTCCAGTTATGCCCAACAACTGATCACATTGCATTGAACAGCCTACAGCCTACATTACTCTGCATACTCCCCACAAAAAACACAACTCTCAGTTGGGAATTTTGAAATATTTAATTTGCAATCCCTGCCCTTGTTTGCTTGGCCCAGGCAGCAAAACAAATAAAGAAAAAATTTAAGTAGTAAAAATAAAAAAAATGATTGTGAGTTGGAATATGTTAAAATGGGACTGCCCAGACCAGAAACCTGTGCTAAATCTGGGAGGAGTTGCAGTGATTTTTTTTTTAGTGATCTCCTCTATTAGACCACCCAGTATATGGTTTAGAAGGATTACAAAAGGATGTGCATCACTAATCTCTAACTCATTGCAGGTCATCATTATAGTCACCCTTCAAAAGGGGCCAAAATGGTGCAGGTATCCTAAGTGATGAGCTACTGGCATTGTAAAAAAAAACTCCCCAGAACCTCTGCCTCTGGCATAACCACATAGAAGGAAGTGTAAAAGGAATCAGTAAAGGGAGAAGGGGAGAAGTAGGTGGATGAGGAGGACGCATTAACACTTAGCTACCTCCATATGGCAGCGCCTCTAACTCTCCTTTTAGACTTAATAAAGTGTAAACAAAGTCTGTGCCACAGGTGTGCTGATCTTCCAGGAGGCTAGCCTCATGGAACTAAGATGGACGCTTCTAGCATCTTGAACCTTCAAATGGGCCACTACAGGTATTCCCCGACTAGAACCATCAAATGATACACCTGGGCCTTGCTGCCTTCTTCCGTCATGGGTAACTACAACAATGATAAAACAAAGGAAGAAGGCGCACCAGCCTGGTGCATTGCTGTATAACTCTTTTCTTGAATTAAATGTAAATGTACTCACAAAAGAAGAAATTTCCCTATCTCCTTTTAGACTTCGTGTAATTTTTTGGACATACTTATTGCCGAAAGGTGAGCTGCCTATGAACATAGGATCCAATGTTTTTTTATTTGTATTTATTTTTATTTTTTTATGCTGCCTGTCTTTCCCCTTGACCATATAATTTCTCCTCTCCATTTGCTGCTGCCTGTTTTCACCCCTGCATTGTGGAAAGGTGGGCAACCTATTGCAGTAGGTTTTTCCCCTGCAGCTATGCCTACATAAATATAAAATAAAAATTATAACTGGTTACTGAGTTTCTGAGGGAGAAAGATTTTGCTGGAAAGTAGAGTAATTGTAAAAACAAAAAAAGTAAAAGAAAAAATAAAATCCATCTTGTCAGCTGGAGCTACACTGTACTACCACTGTACAGTATGTATAGCTATTGTCTCTCAAATAATACTATCATTTTTCAAGATAAAATCTGCATTTCTATTTCTCTCATATTGTAGCCTAACCAAGCTGCTTGGTTAGGCTACAATATGGCCGTCCATTGAGAGTGAAGTGCACATGTGCCGGTGACATCACCGACGCTTCTAGAGAACATATCTCCTTAACGGTGCACATTTAGAAGATATTTACAGTATCTTCAAATAAGCCTTTTTAAAGGCATACCTGTAGGTAAAATATACAAAAAGGAGTTTGCTTACACTTTAAAAATGGACAGAATTTAGTATCAGCATCCTCCCCTCACCAACACTTCTAGTGCCACACACTGATCTTTCTTTACTGTTCTTATTCAGACTATCTGTACAGCCAGACTGATTGAAAGCAACTCCCTCTTTATCTGGCTAACTGCCTGTAACAAAAAAAAAAGTCCCATCACATTTTTTTGCAAGAAAGGTCAAATGATAGAAAATACACTGCTCAAAAAAAATTAAAGGAACACTTTGAAAACACATCAGATCTCAATGGGGCAAAATATCATGCTGGATATCTATACTGATCAGGGGCGGATTGACCATTTGGAAACTCGGGCACTGCCCGAGGGCCCAGGGTCAGTAGGGGTCCCATGAGATGCCCCTGGTACCTTTTTCATAGGCTTTTTTGAGTTTGGGCAAGGACACAGTGGCCCCATAATCCCCTATTGCCCGGGGGCCCCATGAGTTGTCTGTCCACCCCTGATACTGATATAGACTGGGTAATGTGTTAGGAACGTAAGGATGCCCCATCGTTTGATGGAAATGAAAATAATCAACCTACAGAGGACTGAATTCCAAGGCACCCCAAATATCAAAGTGAAAAAATGATGCAACAGGCTAGTCCATTTTGCTGAAATGTCATTGCAGCAACTCAAAATGGTACTCCACGTGCTTCTTTGCATGCCTGACAATGTCGGGGCATGCTCCTAATGAGACGATGGATAGTGTCCTGGTGTATTTTCTCCCAGATCTGGACCAGGGCATCACTGAGCTCCTGGACAGTGTGAGGTGCGACCTGGCAGTGTTGGATGGACTGAAACATAATAACCCAGAGGTGTTCTATTGGATTTTATGTCAGGAAAGTGTGGGGGCCCTTCAATGGTATCAATTTCTTCACCCTTTAGGAACTGCCTGCATACTCTCGCCACATGAGGCCGAGCATT